CAAAGTAGCACGCAGCATCCTGGGGCCTACCGGAAGCTTCTTGGCCCAGGCCAAGTCCAGCCAGGCTGCGAAGCAGGCAGGCTCTTTCCATATAGGAAAGAGCTCGCCACTCTCGGCCTCATTCAGGCACTCGCATGCTAGCGGCAGCGCTGCTGGAGCGAAGGCTCGTGGGCTGCTGCTGGCGCTGAGAGGCGAGGTGCAGCACGTCCGGTCGTGCAGGGAAGAAGGGCGCTGCTGAGGGCAGCGCCATAGCCCAGCAGCCAACATAGCTGGTGGGCTTGGACTACAGTGAGGCGCATGAGTGGTCTTCGGGTGTAAGGGAGGAAGACGTGGATGTAAAGTCAGGGAAGGGTGAAGGATGATGATGATGTGAGGGCACATACCCTGTATCGGTGATGGTCTGTACTGAGCGACATCTTCAAGTACTTCGGGTTGCCGCTTATGTCAACAGTTGCATTGTCAATTAATAGGCTGATAATAGCTGTGTAGGAGTAGGTTGGGCGCTGAGCACCAAGTAGGAGAGTGAAGGGACTGGACTCTTGTGTTGGTGAGGAGAGAGAAAGCTCTCCGTGACATTGGTTTTCAGTACTACGAACCTCCATTGGTGTATTATTGGTGCAATGCTGCTCTCTGGACACGGTGTAACTATCTAGTTTTCAATGTGATTGTGTAATCTGGATTTGTCATCTCGCTGATGCTCATTTTCCTTGCAAATCCAAACATATTTTAGAATTAATTAAATTCCATCCTTTTTCGTAATTCGAAAATACGTTAGAATTACTTAATTATTCTTCGACATTTCTTTGAAATTTGAAAATAATTAATTCTTTTTTAAAAAAATTTTGTTATTCGAAAATAACTTCTTCTTAAACCACCAGTACCTCCGAGCCTGTTTTTGCCGACCCTGATTTTCACTGCGCTCCGAGTTTTGCCGAGTCTGGGTCCCACTCCATTTCTTTATGGTACTCTCACGGGAAGAAAAAAAATAAAAAATAAAAATAAAAAAAAATTGCGGCCGTGAAAACTCACAAAACAAAAAAA